CCTTCTACTTCTGATACTTGGTAAAATTGAACTCTTTACTTTGAATAAATCAACCCTTTTAATTGAAGTTGATTTGAGCACAATATCAAAATTTATTACTGATTAAATGCCTAGAAAACTGCCTTATGTTACATTATAATTGGTATCAATTTTCCTTTAATTGGAAATAGAGTAGTAGAGGGATTGATTTAATTTAAAGGAAATGGATTGATTTGACCAAATGTGAAAACATGGACCATGCGTGATATATATATATATATATATTTCTAATTGCTAATAAATTGAGAACCAGCTACGTTTGTTTTATATGAAAATCAAATGAGTAAATTATAAATTAGCCTATCTCATTTGAAAAAACAAATTAATTAGGTTTTTTTGTTGTAAAAACTAATTATTTATTTTCTTATGTTTTAACTCCGTCAATAATTGAGTTCTATCATCGGTTTTTTGTTAGATTGATGATTTTTTTTTTTCAAATTGCTCTTTTTTTATATATTTTATTTCTCTCATTCATTCACTTTCTTTCTTTCTCTTCAATAAAAAATTAAACAAAATAATAATTTGAGAACAAAAATAACTAATCTAATGAAAAATTGATAAAATGACTAAGTTATTGATATAATTAAAACCTGAAAAATTAAATTATTAGTTTTTTAAATAAATAAAACTAATAAATTCGTTTCTTTAAATCAGAGGGACTAATTTATAATTTACTCCAAATCAATTTTTTTTCCAAATAATAGTAATACTTGAAATGTCATCTCGACATGCTAAATTAATAAAACCAATTGATATTGCCTACCATTAGAGATTTGTATGGTTTCTTAATCAGAAGGACTAGTCAATTGAGAAAATTTTAGAAATTTAGGGCAGCAATTTGAGGAATTTTTTAATTTAGGGCCTAACAAATTGCTTTTTGGAACCTTTTATCGTCTTTCTTTTTTTAACCTTTTCTTGATGGGTAGTTTTTTGAGTAAATTATAAATTAGTCCCTTTCATTTTGAAAAACAAATTAACTCATCCCACTTATTTAAAAAATTAATTATTTAATCTCTATATTTTGAAATCTACTTGTAATTTAATCTTATTTGATCCTTTTTTATTTGTTTTGATTTTTTATTTTAAGAAATATAGAAAAAATATTAAAAAATGGAAAGATTGATGGGAAAGTAAGAGACTTTGTGAAATATAATAATATTAAATTAAAAATAATCAATACTGATTAAATGATTAAATAATAATTTTTAAAACAAAAAAGATTAATTAATTTTTCTCTTGAAACTAGAGGGACTAATTTATAATTTACTCATAGTTTTTTTGACTGGGCGTGGTTTTACTTCTCAACAAATACGCGTATAAGACTCTTGTTAATATATTTACTTGAGAAAAATCTAACAATTGAAAAGTATAATTCATAAGAAAAATCTAACAGATTGCTTCTCGGATTTTTTTTTTCTAGAGATAATAAGAAAATCAATGTTTATATTTTGAAATTTTTATTTTATAATTAAAACCTGAAAATTAAATTATTAGTTTTAAAAATAAATAAAATTAATGAATTCGTTTCTCTAAACGAGAGGGACTAACATATAATTTACTCCGAATCAAATTTATCTTTTTTTTCTTCAAACAATATTAATACTTGAAATTTCTTCTCGAACATGCTGAATTAATAAAACCAATTGATCTTGCCTGCCATTAGAAAATTGTAGGTTTCTTACTAGAAGGACTAGTTAATTGAGAAAATTTTAGAAATTCATAGTAGCAATTTGAGGAATTTTTTTAATTTACAGTCTAACAAATTGCTTTTAGGAATCTTTTATTGCCTTTCTCATGGTAGATTTTCCTAGTGACATTTTTTTAACCTTTTCTTGAAGGGTAGTTTTTTTTAGTAAATTATAAATCAGTCCATTTCATTTCAAGAAATGAATTAATTCATCCCTCTTATTTAAAAACTAATTATTTAGTCTTTATGTTTTGAAATCTACTTACAATTTAATCATTTTTGCTCATTTTAAATTTATTTTGATTTTTTTTATTTTAAAAAATGAAAAAAAAATATGAATAGATTGATGAGAAAATAAAAGATTTTGTAGAATAAAAATAATATTAAATTAAATATAATTAATACTGATTAAAAAATAAATAATAATTTTTGAAACAAAAAAATTAATTATTTATCTCTTAAAAATAGAAAGATTAGTTTATAATTTACTCGTTGTTTTTTGACAGGGCATAGTTTTACTTCTCAACACGTACGCGTGTAAGAGAGTCTTGTTAATATATTTACATGAGAAAAATCTAACAATTGAAAAGTAAAATTCATAAGAAAAATCTAACAGACTGCTTCTTGGAATTTTTTTTTTCTAGATATAATAAGAAAATCAATGTTTATATTTTGATTTTTTTTTTTAATTTCAAATTGATGTGCTTGAGTTAAAAATAGAAAAGAATCTCTAAATAATTTCATCTAAATTTAAATGTACCAACCATTTTAAAATAAAAAATTAATTAAAAAAAATTCATATTAGTGATATTAAACTTAGATCGAAAATACTTAAATAATAACTAGTGTAAGTTATTCTATAAAGAGAAACGAGACAAAAAAATGAGAGAGAAAATTAAAAAAAAAAAAAAAAGGAATTTGAGCCAAGGTGAATTTATCGTTTTGGTGAGTTGGGATGTTTTTTTTTTATTTATTTTTTATGTTTCTACCTCTTTTTAAAGTAAACTCATAAAATAATATATATATATATATATATATATATATTACTTTTTAGTATTATGAAACTTCTAGCTAATACTACCACGCTTTTGGTGATCCGACAAAACTGGAATAATGTCAAAGACCGAATAAAAGGTAGGTCAAACTCAACCAAACGCCCCCTTAAAAATTTGAATCGTTTAAGGTGGGCCAAGTCTATGTTGGACTTGTTGGGCTATTTTTGTCAGAAGTCCAACTCCATATTTTAGGTATACACTTTCTTCGGCCCGCAAATTTCCTTAAAGGTGAAAATGACCTTCGGGTACTATCCAATTTTAATTATTTTAATTCTTCTATCCAATTATGGTTCAAACATAACTTTACACTATTTAAAATAGAATATGTTAATCCTTCTATCATATTTCGTTAATCTATTTTGTTAAATTGGTCAAATTTTATTAGTTGGCTAATGTCTATTTGATTCTATATGACACATGTCAATTCAAGTTTAAAAGCGTAATTTTTTTTTGAAAAATTGCTTTTTAAAAATGAAAAAAAATATATAGCCTAAGTAAGTGTTTTTGTTTTTTATTTATATAAATGCATGATTAGTTGGGATTTTTTTTCATTTTTTAATAATAGTTGATTATTTTAATTTTTAAAACTGATTTCCCACTAGAAATTACGTTTTTAGGAAAATCAATTTTTGTATTTGAGTTTTAGCATATGATTTGATAGATGTTAATAAATTGACAGAATTTAGTCAAATTAATGAAATGTTAAGAACTTGGATAGAAGGAACGGCGTGTCTCAAATTTAAAGTAGTATAGAGTTCGGTTGCATTATATATTGATATAAAGGTTAAAATGATTAAAACCGGATGGTAGAAAGACACGAGATGATAATGGAAAATTTTATAATACACAAGAAGTAACTAGTGGCATGTATAGTAGTTACTCTTTGAGTCCACTTTGAGGAGAGAGATAGACACATAAAAAAAATTATATTTATACCCATCAAAAGTGATAAGAAGATTTCCAAGTCCGCTCAAATTTTTTTATTTTCTCTCTCCTATTTTTTCTCTCTCTTTTTGTGTATCTATCTCTCTCCTCAAAGTGGACCCAAGGAGTAACTACTGTACATGCCACTAATTACTCCTTGTGTATTATAAAATTTCTCGATGATAATCACCTATTTTCATAATATCCCTACTTTGCTTTCCGTGTTTTTGTTTTTATTTGTTCTTTTTTATATTTTTTTAAGTGACAAAAAAAACCAAAAAAAAAAAAAAATCATGGCATTGTTCCAATGCATTTTGTAGAATTTTTATTGATATTTTTATTTTATTTTTTTGTCAAATACTTGTATATAATCATTGAAATTTTAACATTAACCAAGTCAAAAAATAAGAAAATCAAGAGAAAACTTGATTATCTAACAGAAAACAACCAAACCCGATTTTTATACTCAATAGAAAAAAAAAAGAGAAATTGTAAACTAAGACCTTGAATTTGTCACCATTGCCATCTTTACTCTTTACAATATATTTTTTTTGGAGGCAAGTGATTCTTCCCTAATGACTCCTCATATTTAGAATAAAAATAAAAAATAAAAAGCAAAGCTGGCCATAGTTAGAAATAAGAACTAGAATAGGAAAAATTATTAGTAAATTCTTAGTTGTATTTTCTTATTCACATAAAAATGGAATATCCTACCTAATAATTTTAGTTAATGATTTCTCCTAGAATAGGTTTTTTTTTTCATTATTTAATGATCAAATTACATTAACAAATCATGTTTCTTATATCAATTTATTTTATTTAAAAAATGACATAGTACTTTTTCGAAAATATTATACGACCAATGCTTTCAACCCTAATTTCAATTTACCAAGAAACAAAACCAATAATCAAATACTCACAAAAATAAGTTTCATCTCCACGTTAATTAATTTTTTCTAAACATTTAATTAGTGCCTTTTACCAACAACGATTTCTTCCTCCATACTCATTATTAACAACAATAAACGTCATATCTCCTGCTATATACAGGCCATCTTCTTTAAATTAAATTAAAAAAATAAAATTAATTTTAATGTACAAAAACCAAAAGCAAGATACCAATCAATAACAACATCGACAAATAAATAAAAAACAAGACAAGCTTTATACTTGTAATAGAAATATCAATAACACGAGTCTCATAATGATACAAATGACATATGAATCGTATATATTAGATCAACTAGATTTTGGTCCACATGACCAAAAAAAAAAAAAAAAAAAAAAAAATTGTAATGGTAGTTCCTAATAATTTATCTTTTTTATGGATACTGACTAAATTTTATTCTATATTCTATAAATGAGACATACGTATCACACATAAATGTGCAATACAATTCATTTTTCAACAAGCATTGATGTTTTTTTTTTTCGATAAGTGTTATGTTGAAACTTATCAATCGTGTATACTAGATCTCGACTAGATTTTGATCCACATAACAATCAATTCAAAAAAAAAAAAAAAAAAAACTTGTAATGGTAGTTTTTAGTAATGTATCACACCTAAATGTCCAACACAATTTATTTTCCAACAAAGTGCATGCCTTGATGAGTAGTTTATATGAATTTACTGTAAAAACTTTATGTTTAAAGATCAAAACATAAATCATACTATGCAATGATCAAGACATAAATCATTCATATCCATTTAAGATCTTGAATATAATAATAATCACATAGATGAAGCGAATAAATTACTTACCTTGAGCGGAATTCAACATGATGTAGAGAGAGTTTTCAACAATCACGAACCTTATAAATTAGTTTCTCTCCCTTAACCCTTTTTTCTATAGCGAGTGGCTTGATGGATAACTAAAATACATACGTTACGTATTTTTGTGTTCTTCTTCTCTCGATAAGTTTTGTGTTCTAACTCATTAATCATATATATTGGATATTGACTAGATTTTGATCCACACGACAATTAATTCAAAAACAAAATCAGTAATGGTATTTTTTTTAATAGGGTATCCCATGTATGGATACTGATTAAATTTTATTTTATATTCTATACATCAAACATATATATCATGTGTATAAATGTGTAACACAATTCATTTTCCAACAAAGTGCATGTCTGGTTGAGTAGTTTTTATGAGTTTACATATCAACTAGCATTGATGTTCTTCTTTTCCCGATAAATTTTGTGTTCAAACTAATCAATCGTATATACTAGACACAGAGTAGATTTTGGTCCACATGACAATTAATTAAAAAAAAAATTGCAACGATACTTTTTAATAACGTATCTTGTTTATGGATACTGACTAAATTTTATTCTATATTCTATACATTAGACATATATATCACGTGTAAATGTATAACACAATTTATTTTGGGTTAATATCATCACCTATTTTTATATAATAGATTAATTTTTTAATCTATCTCTAAATTTAAAACTCCTCAAATCTGTTCTTATTATTTGAGCTAATTTCTAATCTACACTTTTGGTCAATTTTTTAGATCAAAACACTCCAAAAATGTCATAAGACTAAACATGATTTTTTTTTTTTTTTTTTTTTTGACAAAAATGCTATTTGTAGTTTAACATGTTAAGTTTTCAATCTATCCATATAAAATTAGTTGAGTTTTTAATCTATCCTTAATGCTAATAAATCTATTAAATTATTGTTATTAATTTTCCTAATAATTTGTTGCGAGTACACTAAATTTTTTGTTAATTGAAAATATATAAAAATAATTAGTTCAAGTTAGTAGTATTAAAAGATAAATAATTACATTTAAGTAATTTTTAATTAGTATCTTAAGCATGTATTAAAAAAAATAATTATATTGAAGTAATTATTAATTAGTCTCTTAAGCATGCAATTAAAAACAATATGATTATATTTAAGTAATTGTTAATTAGTCTCTTAAGCATGTAATTAAAAAAATAATAATAACATATTTTCTTTAATTACATATTTTATTTTTTGCACGGGATTCATATATTTTCTTTTATAAAGATGATTTAATATATTGGTAAATATTATATCAACTTGTTCAATATTATACATAAGTGAATTATTACAATATAGTGGTCTCTTTAGTATTAAAATATGTTAAATGATATTTTTTTGAATAGCTAAATAATAATTTGTATTAATTATTTTTATAAATTTTCAATTAATATAAAATTTGCAACACGTTATTAGAAAAATTAATAACAATAATATAATGGACTCTTTAGCATTAATGATAGATTGAAAACTCAATCCATTATACATTAACATATTAAAAACTTAACATGTTAAGCTGAAAGGGGCTTTTTTGTTAAAATAAAGGTCATGTGATATTTTTGAATGGTTTGATCAAAAAAATTGATCGAAATGACAGATTAGAAATCATGTCAAATAAAAAGAACAAATTAAAGGTATTTTAAAATTTAGAGACAAATTGAAAATTGACCAATTATATAAGGATAGATAAAAGTATTAATCTATTTATTTTCCAACAAAGTACATGCTTGGCTGAGTAGTTTATATGAGTTTACAGATCGATTAGTATTGATGTTCTTCTTTTCTCGATAAGTTTTGTGTTCAAACTTATCAATCGTATATGCTAGACATTGACTAGGTTTTGGTCCTTATGAAAAATCATTTTTTAATAACATATATCGTTTATAGATACTGACTAAATTTTATTTTATATATAATTTATATTGTTCTTTGACAGCTGAATATAAACAAAATCAAAGTCTACATGATAATCAATTGAAAAAAAAACTCATAACGATAGTTTTTAATAACATATATCGTTTATATATACTAACTAAATTTTATTCTATATATATATATATATATATATATATATATGCAACACAATTCATTTTCCAACAAAGTGCAACCGTGGTTGAATGATTTATATGAGTTTACACATCAACTAGCACTGATATTCTTCTTTTCTTCGTAAATTTCCTATTCGAACTTTTTTATAAAAAATAAAAATAAAAAAAAGGAAAAATAAATAAATACAAGGTGCATGCGTGCATAGGATAGCGTAAAGAAAAAAACAGTTGGCAGAATTGGCTGGTTTATGTCACTCGGTTCCGTTAAAACTGCGTGCGTTTTAGCGGGTATCATAACTTCCTTTTCTTATTGACTTGATCTTCTCTCTCCTTCTCTTTCTAAAACTTAACGACTTTCTCTCTCTAGCACAAAATCCTACGAATTGCGAGTCATTAGTGTCTTTCCATCTCTCTCATGCCCCACCATTTTTATTTTTTTTTTAAAAAACCCCTTTTATTTTATTATTTTTATATTTTGTTTTATTACTTAATTACATAAAATAAAACGTAAATCTGTATTGATTAGATTACCAAATTAGAGTAAGAGGCTGATTCCCTGCCGCATTTAAACGTCTTTCAATCTTCTTCAACCTTAACTGTTGTTAAAGAAAATTATTTATTATTATTATTATTATTATTATTAAAGAAATAAAAAATCTGTGTTTTGATTTCACCTGCTTTGTCATTATTATAAATGTTATTTATTATTAGAGTCTCTGCCAATCAAAACAATTAAAGAAAACCCACCCAAGTCATTCCTTTTGTTTCTCCTAATAAAATCTTAGTATTGGATTTGATTTGATTTATTATTTTTCTCTTTTTTTTTTTTTTTGGTTCAAGTTTTATGAGAAAAGAAACCTTTTTTTAGGCAATAGGGTTAGAAGGGAATTGAGGGTTAGGTTTGTTTTCGTTAGATAAAAAGAGAAAATAGAGAGTTTTTCTTTATGGGTTTTGAATTTTGGTTAGGTTAGTTAATAAAAGAGCTGTTCTGCAGAGTAAAGATTGTAGCTTGTTGAGTCAAATTTCTTTCCTTTTAGGAACAGGCAATGGAACAGTTCAAATCTCCTGCAGATTCTCATCTGAAAGAGGTTACTTTGATTCTGCCCCGTGATTTATTTGTTCTAAAGTTGTGATCTTTATGTGTTTTTTTTTTCATTGATTGAATTGTTTTGATGTAAGATTGTTGTAATTTGGTTTTGAATGTAGTTATTATCTGCATTGTACTAATCTGGGTGGTTAAAAAGATTGGATCTTTGATCATAAATCTGTCCTTTAATCATAGGGTTGGTAATAGAGTTTTGATCTTTTGATGATCATTCATGTTTTTCTCCTGTTACAAATCATGGAGAATACGCATACAATGTGTACTGATTATTTGGTGTTAGTGAGTGGATGAATTTGATTGTTGAAGGATAATGGAGTTTGTTTTATGATTTTATATGTGATTGTTGCAAATTCTTCGGTTTCTTGCAAAATTGGATTATGAGTTTATGATTGTCGATTATGATAAACAGTTCTTCTGCCTTCCTTCGATTGTTGTTTTAGATTGTTCTAGCAAGATCATGTTTCATTAGTTTCAGTGTATGTGCAGTGGTGTTCCTGATTAGTGCTCCGATCATGTGGCTAAGACAAAGTTTAGGGTTTGCATACAAAGCAATAACTTGGTTTTATACTAGGATGTGGTGCTGCAAAACAGCTTGAGTGCCTGGACGATACATATGAATTTTAATTTTAATTGGGCAAGTAATTGAATACATATTGTTTTGCAGGATCATTCAATTAAGCAATCCCCAAAAAGCGAAGATGCCTCCGAGGGCCCAGGAAGTCCCCAAAATCAAAAGGTACAGACAGTTGATTTGGTTTTCAATTGTAGCTGTGTGGTGTTTGTACTCATTTACTGTTGACAAGAGTGTTTTCAGATATGTAATCAAATTCAAATTGTTGAAAATTTGTCTTAAATGGCTTGGAGAACCTAATTCAATAATTTTTGTTCTTAAAGTTTGATTTTTGTACCGTAAATGATTGAAAAAAAATTTCGCAAAACCATACACTGCCTGTATTTTATTTTATTATTTAGATTAACAAATAGGCCATCTGATTTTTTCATGAAGCAAAATCCAAATGCTTGAAATTCTTTATGGTAACAGAATGAAATAGCCTAGTTGTTGTGTGATATCCAATTATTTTCATGGCATTCTCCATTTAATTCCTGATGCTTGATTAAGTAAGACATTATTCTTATGGTACAGGTAACAGCAAGATGGGATCCAGTCGAAGCTTGTAGGCCTATTATTGGTGATGCTCCAGTGTTTTATCCAACTGTTGAGGTATTTCTTTGGTACATTTGATGATAGTAATATCTTATATTTCATTTATAACATGTATCGTTCTCCTTTATTTAGGAATTTGAAGATACACTTGGTTATATATCAAAGATACGTGCGAAAGCAGAGTCGTATGGTATATGTCGGATTGTTCCTCCACCTTCTTGGAGTCCACCTTGCTGCCTCAAAGAGAAAGATATATGGGAACATGGTAAATTTTCTACAAGAATTCAGTATGTTGAGTTGCTTCAAAATAGGGAGCCAATGAGAAAGAAATCTAAAAGTCGGAAACGGAAAAGAAGGAGACATTCAAGGATGGGATCAACCAGGAGAAGCACCAGGAGACGTGCCAATTCTTGTTCAGAAGGAAATGTTGCCTCTGAGACGGACGAGACATTTGGGTTCCACTCTGGTTCTGATTTCACACTCGAAGAATTTGAGAAAGAAGCTGCTTATTTCAAAGATTGCTACTTTGGAACGAAGGATCTAATGGATGGTGGGACTGAAACACAGAAATTGGAGCCTTCTGTTGAAGATATTGAAGGTGAATACTGGCGGATTGTTGAGAAACCAACAGACGAGGTTAAGGTATAAAAAATATGGCTCTTGATGTGACTGTTTCTTGTGTATCTCGATTTATATCCATGTTTACCTTCAATAATATTTCTCTTCTATTATATTGCAGGTACTCTATGGAGCTGATTTGGAAACAGCAACATTTGGAAGTGGATTCCCTAAGGCTTCAGCCTTGATGACCAAAGGTGATTCAGATCAGTATGTGGTATCTGGTTGGAATCTAAACAACTTACCACGCCTGCCAGGTTCTGTGCTGTGTTTTGAAGGATGTGATATTTCAGGAGTTTTAGTTCCATGGCTGTATGTTGGAATGTGTTTCTCATCATTTTGTTGGGTAAGTCACTTGAACTACTGTTTTCAAAGATCTACGAGAATAAACTGATCATTACAATAGGCTCTTCTAGGTTTAGTTTAATTAACTTCAACACACAGAGGCATACATCAAGTTTCTCAGTCTGTTGCACTAGTTATTGATTCTCTTAGGTTCATTGTCTCTCTTTATCAGCCTAGTACTACAAATTGATCAAGATTAGTCATTATGTTCAAGCTAATATCAGTTGTTTGTAATGTATCCACTACCTGTGTAGTTGGAGTCTTTATATTCAAGCTAATATCAATTGTTTACTGATTTGTTCTTCCCCTTTTCACCATTTTTCAATTATTTTCTGAACAGCATGTCGAGGACCACCACTTATATTCGCTGAACTATTTACACTGGGGTGATCCAAAGGTATGGTATGGAGTACCTGAAAGCCATGCTTCCAATTTGGAGGATGCAATGAGAAAGCATTTACCTGATTTGTTCGAAGAACAACCTGATTTACTTCATGGACTGGTAAGAAGATGACTATTCTTAATATTGAGATCTAAAATGAGTTATTTAAGAGGTTATTTTTTGATAAAAGCTGGAAAAAGTTCCAAAACATCTGAACAATGAAGAGGAAGGACAAACTAAATGAGAAGGAAAGGGCATCAGATAGCTATCCAGTAAATGAACCTTGAAGATGATTTGTTCTGTCGATGCTTCCAACCTGATTGCCTTACTACTTAAAATCATTTAACTGGAGACTATTCACAAATTTTGAGCTAATAATCGGCCCTACAATGAAGCATCAAATTCATCGACCAGCTTTCTGTAAATTGCTTAGCTCAATGATTAATTTGATCCATTGTGCAGGGCTCTCTCATGTTATCTTAAAATCCACCAGGATTAAAGGCTTTTGACCTTTTGTTTTGACCTTGCTTTGCTTCCAATTTTTGTGAGAAGTTTCTAACAGTTCCTTTTTTGGGTACAGGTAACTCAACTATCTCCTTCAGTTTTAAAAGCTGAGGGTGTACCAGTATATCGGGTGGTCCAACACTCTGGGGAGTTTGTTCTTACCTTTCCTAGAGCATACCACTCTGGCTTTAATTGTGGCTTCAACTGTGCGGAGGCAGTGAACGTAGCCCCTGTTGATTGGCTGGCACATGGACAGCATGCGGTTGAGCTTTACAGTGAGCAGCGGCGCAAGACCTCTATATCCCATGACAAGCTTCTGATGGGAGCAGCTCAGGAAGCAATCCACGCCCTTAGGGAACTATTGCTTCTTGGCAAAGAAACTCCTGAAAATTTAAGGTGGAGGAGTGTCTGTGGGAAGAATGGAGTGCTTACCATGGCAGTTAAGGTACTCTCTCTCTCTCTCTCGTGTTAAGATGAATACATGCATGTATGCTCATATGCTTACATTATTGAAAATTTAATTGAGTACCATTGAGAGGACTAATTCACGTTTATACTTTTCACAGACAAGGGTAAAGATGGAGGAGGAAAGAATAAAGTGTCTTCCAACTAATGTAAGAGTACAAAAGATGGAAAAGGACTTTGATTTGCAGAACGAGAAAGAATGTTTCTTGTGTTTTTATGACTTGCATTTATCCGCTGCCAGCTGTAAGTGCTCCCCCGAAAGATTTGCTTGCCTGAAACATGCAAGCCATTTTTGTTCATGTGAAATAGACCATAGGTATGTCCTTCTCCACTACACTATGGATGAATTAAACACTCTGGTTGATGGATTGGAGGGAGAATTAGATGCTCTGAAGGTATGGGGATCTGAAGAATATAGATTGGTTTCTGTCGGTGATATTGGCTGTCATGTGCCTGAGCTGGAATTTAACGTTGAATTTGAAACCAACTATTCTAAGAGGAAGGAAAGTCCACTTTGTTCTCAAAAAACACAGGAAAACTTGAGCACCAAAGGATCTTGCAGTTTTAATAGCAATACTTCTTCAGAAGTAATCCAGTCAGAGTGTCATCGCAACAGCTTTAACAATGGAGCTCCAGTGATGAAAAACAAAGCTAAGGTGAAGCAAGAGGGATGCTTTGATTTGAATATTGATGTTATGTCTATTGATCAGGAAAGTAAGCCCCTGCCTGTATCTGATGGCTGTGGTTTCAAAGCTATCTCAGATATGAAGGGGACACATTGTTCACCATGTTTGCAAGAGACACTTGGCAGTTCAGATGCAGCAAAAGAAGACAGGGAACAAGCTGTTGGAGACTGTAAACCTGAGTTGCATGAATTGTCAAATAAAACTGACCCTTCTTATCCAATATTTGCTCAGGATACTTCTGCATCTCATAAGAAATTGTTTGGGGTTGATCTTTTGTTTCCACATTCACATTCAGTGAGGCCAGCAGAGAACTTCAAAACTGAAATGGTTGAGGGTGGCTTGGATGTAAGACCTGTAACTCACCAAAGCAATCCAGTGAAGAAATTGAATCCTTGTGTAGAACAAATCAACGTAGGATCTGTTGTGTTTGGAAAGCTTTGGTGCTGTGAGCAGGCCATATTCCCTAAAGGTACACCATTGTATGATGTTTGCGTGGATTTTCTTAATTATGTTTCTGTTTATGCATTGCAGGATTCATTGATATATTCTTCCAATTTTGGTTGATTTTTGCAGGATTTAAAAGCCGGGTTAAGTTCTTTAATGTGCTTGATCCCATAAAAGTTTGTTCCTATATTTCAGAAGTACAGGATGCTGGGCCTCTTGGCCCTTTTTTCAAGGTTGGTTTTTCTTACTATATATCTGGAGTTTAGGATGGATGAAAAATATGGGTTTATAGCTTTAGAGTTGAACTTGTCGGGCCTTTGAAATGACTTTCTGAATTTCAGGTATCTTTAGAAGAATGCCCGAGTGAGACATTAGGAGCAGATGTTTCAATTCAGAAGTGCTGGGAGATGGTGCTGCAAAGACTAAATGAAGAAATTGGAAGACGAAACAGCCTAGCAGTAAGAGACCTTCCCCCTTTGCAGAGTATTAATGGGTTTGAAATGTTCGGATTCTTCTCCCCACCAATTATTCAGGTAAAGCTACTTCCACATGCCATATTTAATCAGTGGCTTCTGTTACATAGAGGGGTATTGAATTTAATAGCATTTACTTGATAAGACTTCTGGAATATTTTTTCTAAATTGGAACTGCGTAACATATTTGAGTTTGCAGCCATATATGTTGTAGAGGCACGTAGTGTTGCCCACGTCAGATTATAGTATCCGAATTTGGATGTTTGATGCTAAATTTCTTTCAGGCTATCGAGGATCTTGATCCCAATCATCGGTGTGTGGAATACTGGAAACATAAGCTTGTTAATCTGAGGAATACAAGTGAAGTCAAGCAGCTCCCATCTGGATCAAGTTGCGGTCCCATAGAAACGAAGGAAAAAATTGACATTAACCTTCTGACACAGGAACCTGGTAGCTTATTCATAGGAGGTCATCATTCAGTTGATGAAGATGTGCAGCACGTGCTGCGAGGATTATTCAAGAAAGCAAGTCCAGAAGAGTTAAATACAATGCACAGAATACTCTGCAGTGACGCACAAATTGCTGACCGGAGAGTAGCATTCACAACACTGATGGAGGAGATTAAGAAAACAAGTAGGTAATAAATGGAACATGTTTAGGTTCCATCATTCTTTCTCATCGAGGGTAGCTTTACCTTATCTTTCTAATCATTTAGGCCCATTCTTTCACAAGTTCATAAAAGGGAAAGAGTTCCTGGTATGAACCGCCCACAAATATTTTGCAGCGGCGTGGCTGATCGTAACGTAGATACAGCATAAGGGAGATTTTGTACGTTAGGAAATTTTACCAACCCTCATACCCTCCATTTCTGGATTTCATTGACTTCTAACTTGCTTTCTTTTCTTTCTTTCTCTTTTTTAGTGCCTTTTATTTATAGATGAAAATGTATATAAGACCAAACTGACACAGAGAGAGCTCAGAGATTTGTCTAGAATCCAATAAGTTTCTTAAAATTGCCCGAATAAATTCATGATCATCATGGTTATGTTCCTAGCCATTGTCTGAGTTTTCTGCTCCAAGTATGTCCTCATGACATGTTTGCATTTTTTGGACCATATCACCCTTCTTTTTCTTCGAGTAAATTATAAATTAGTCTCCCTTAGTTTTAAAATATGAATTAAATAGTCCTTTATGTATTAAAAACTAATTATTTAGTCGTTTTTATTTATGTTTTCTTTTTTAATTTTTTTTTGTTTTAAAAAATAAATAGATATTATAGAAAGATTGATAAAAAATAAAGATATTTTTTAGAATAAAATAATATTAAATTAAGTATAGTATAAAAAGATTAAATAATTAGTTTTTGAAATAAAGATTAATTAATTTATTTTTCAAAATAGAAGGATTGATTTATAATTTACTCTTTTTCTTCCCTTTCATGGGGAGAAAGAGACATTTAGAAAGGAGAGAGAGAGAGAGAGAGAGAGGAGAGAGAGAACAGAAAAGAAAATAAAATAGGAAGGAAAAAAAATGCAGAAATAATCATGAAACTCTTTAGGCATATTTTTTGTGGCCCCGAGATCTAGAGACAGTGAAGTTTCATAGCCCACGAGTTAATTCCGATTATTTTCCCTGCACTTCCGATTAATTCCCGAAGCCTGCCGAGCAATCGTAGATTATTTCGCAATTCATCGTCAACTTCTGCCGATTAGATTCCGATGAATACTATTGTCAGCGGCGATAATTTTGCAATTAATCGGCCCAGATGCTGATTATTTGCCTACAAATTGCCGATCATGTTGCAATTCAGCGCCAACCATTTCCGGTTAAATGCCGAGTAATATCCACAATAGCGATCTTTTCCCATTAATCTCAAGATTGTTGCCGATGATTTCGTAATCAATCGCCAGCTAATCGCGTTTATTTTCCGATCAATCGACGGGTTATTGCCGATGTTTTCCTTATAATTAGCCGATTATTGACATGTCAACGTGATTAATACCGCGTTAATGCCGGTTATTTTGCCAGATTCTCGATTTATTGCAAATTAGAGTCGCAGATGAATTGGCTTATTTTCCCATGATTACTTGCTTATTTTCCGACTCTAACCATTTTATAGTAAATTATGAATTAGTCCTTTTATTTTTTTATAATAAGTCCTTTATTTTTTAAAAACTAATTATTTAGTTTTTTTCATTCATTTTATGTTCTTTTGATTTTTTTTTAAAATAGATACTATGGAAAGATTGATAAGAAAAAAGAGATTTTTTTGAAATAATATAATATTAAATTAAGTATGATTAACACTAGTTAGTGACTAATTAATTTTTTTCTTAAAAATAAAAGAACTAATTTATAATTAACTAAAAAATTTTATAACTTCATTTTGGTGATATTTTTTTAGCCACCTTTTCCTTTTTTCTAACACTTCTGACTTCCTCAATTTTTATTTTTATTTTTGGCTTTTTCTTATTCTCCAGAAAAAAAAAATTGAAATCTTTTTGTGAAGAGAATCACCGTTTTTTAGAAGGATAATATATAGCAAGTAGCAAGAATGTTCTAACTTGACCTCCTTGAGTCCACAAACATGTCTTGGTATTTAAGTTGTATGCAGAAGAAAATTGTAAATTATAAATTAATTCTTTTAGTTTTGCAAAACAAATTATATAATTTTTTATTTTAAAAATAATTAATTAGTCATTTAACCAATGTTAACCATAATTAATTTAATGTTTGTTTCAAAAAAATTCTTCTTTTCTCATCAATTTTTTCATATATTTTTTTAAAAAACATAAATTGAAAAAAAAAAATTAGATTACAAATAGATTTAAAAACATAGGAACTAATTAATTAGTTTTTGAAACCAAAAAGACTATTCAATTCATTCTAAAACACTAGAGGGACTAATTTATAATTTACCTTTGTATGTAGCCTCACTATTTATTATTATTATTATTATTATTTTAAGGATTTTTCATAACATTTGAATTCCATTTGGGCAATTCAGGTTGGATCAAACATGGATTGCTATTGTAATTTCAGCTTTTAGGTAGTCTTGTTTCTGTCAATGTCCATAAACCCTACTCCTACGTTTGGAGGTCTTTGTCTTCTGTGTATGCTTTGGTAGGTTCTCTAAAGCTCTACCAAACAAACCTAATTTCATACAAGAATTAATGAGATAAGAGAAGCTATGAACATATGGCAACTAAAAAGCAAAATGACACATGAAATTAACAAGAAATTTTTCAGCAAATTAAAGCTATACATTCATGAATTCTGCATCAGATTTCCATTTAAACCATCTTGCAAATACCATGAAAGATCCTGAAACAGTCCTTTTCTATATCTTGAATTACAACATTAACAAAGAAAAGTAGAAAAAAATCTTATCTTTGCAATTGGAAATGACCCAATTGGTTATCTTGATAGTGACCCTTAAAAAGAACAAGACTGAAACTAGAGAAGATCAACCTAGCAATTCAGTTCTTGAGCAAGAACCATCAATGGACAAGAATCGTTCTTTGAAATTTTGATGCCAAAACGACAAAAAGAATCAAGACAACAGTCCACACCTCAGTGCACAAGCAAGCTGCATCTGACTCTCCATGGTGATGAACAGTCAACTCCTCATCATTTGCAGTACTTGGAATAAATATTCTTGGAGGAGTAGGAGGACCGGAAGCAGGAGTTGGTGGCGGCGGAACCATGTTTGGCTCTGAAAATGTCTTGCCAGGTTCAGCACCATAAACTGAATAATCAAGAAGGTTATCGATGCCATGAACAGCAATGTCAGCATTGGTGTAGATATCAGGATGTGTAAGGCGAGAGCCATCAAGTGTGAAATTTGATGCAGAATTGTTGTTAATGAGTATGGACTTGTCAAGAAGGAGAGTTGGGAGGCGAGAGAAGGCCTTAAATTGACGGAGATCAGCAAAAGTGAGGCGTTGAGGGACAATGTGGTAAGGAAAGATAGAAGGGTCAGCAGTGGTGGTGGTTGGAGAAAGAGAGTTGTCAGAAGGGATAAAGAAGGTGGCGGAGATAGGGAAGGTGGTAGGGTCTGCCATGGTGAGGACATTGGCCCAGTTCTTGAAGTCTCCAGCACCGAGTACTGCATCAATTATGTTGTAGATTTGTTCTTGAAGGGGGAATTTGAGGTCTTCTTGTTGTGATGTTAATGGTGATGGTGGTGTTGGTGGTAGTGAGAAGGTGGTGATGATGGAACTGCTGGTGGGAGCTTGGGCAGGACTGGGGCCAAATGTGGGGGTGGTGGCGGTGATGGTGCTGCTGGTGGGAGTTGGGGCAGGACTGAGGGCAGAGGTGGGGGTGAGGGTGGTTCTGGTAGTGGGAATTGGAGTGGGGGCAGACGAGGGTGTGGGTGTGGGAGTGAGGGTGGTGGAGGTGGAATTACTGATGGAAGTTGGAGCACAGGGTGCAGGCGTGGGGATGGTGGTGGTGGGAGATGGGGCAGCAGTGGGGGCAACTATGGGGGTGAGGGTGGTGCTGGTGGTGGGAGACGGGACAGCAGTGGGGGCAAACTTGGGGGTGACATTGGTGCTGGTGGTGGGAGATGGGACAGCAGTGGGGGCAAATGTGGGGGTGACGGTGGTGCTGGTGGTCGGAGTTGGAGCAGGAGAGGGGGCAGAGGTGGGTAAGGGTGTGGGGCTAAGGGTGCAGAATGGGGTGGAGGTGGTAACGGCTGTGGTGGTGAGGAGGAGTAGGAAGGAGAAGAGGTATTTGGCCATCGAGAGAGAGTTTCTTGATTTTCTTGAACTCGGCTGGCTTCAATTTTGATCTTTGTGGGTTCTTTTGGGTTCGTGTGTTATAAAGAGAAGAAAATGTAACAGAAAGCAGAGAGTTATAAGTTTCTTGGTTTCTCTGTGTCGCTAACTTATAACTAACTCTTCCCGCCAAAAACGGTTGAAGAAAAGGGTATTGCTGTAATAAGAAAATTGCTGTGGCATTTGGTAGTTTTCATGGCAATTGTGTAAAAATGGCTCTAGGGCATGAAGATGTTGTAAAGACAAGAGTACCAGAGGCTAATAACATTTGGGAGGTCTATACGTTGTGGAATACACAACGAGAGAGTCTTTTTCATTGCATAATCAATAAACGACGAATTAGAATCATTAAAACTCAAACTTGTTTAACTGAAAAAAGCTATCAAATACATAACGGTTAGATTTTACGTATTTGTGTTTAATAGCCCATTTTTATAGATAATGAAAACTTATTTCTCTATGCATGCACGAAATTATCTAGTGCCACAAAAAAGGCAAACTCTATTTATTGGAATCAACGCTATATTTTCCATCTGATCTTTTAAATCGTTCCTATCACCAAGAAGATAGAGGTGGGATACTTTGTTCATTGCTGAAGAAGTTAGTAGGATCAATGGCAGTCTTCACATGTACTAATCTGTCAAAATTATTCTTGAAATATTTAATGCCCCAAATGCTTGCTTGTCTATAACTTGTGTTGCCTGCAGGATTACTTCTCCCTATGTCAAGATCCCTGTAATTGACATAAGCAGCTCTAGGATTTTTTGAAACATATATAAGGGGCCAGGTAATTGCAGAGTCTCCTGATCCAACTTATATGCCTCTTGGTTGCGACAATCCCTTCTTCATCCCAATATATTGAGTGTTGAATTTTATATATGTTCCCTGCTCTATGTGGAAATGGAACGCTAGACTCTGAAATCTCACTCATTTTTCCTCCGTAAGGGCTAAAGATCAGTGTCGGTGTGTCGATGCTTTCGTCGAAGAACCTTTTCCATATCCCTTCCAATGCAAGTTCAGGTATAGGTTCTTTGACATAGTCTGATTTTGATTTGAAATTCCTTCTTGTTGGAGGAGTTCTATTAAACAAAACATCCGAGGGTGAATTAAATGGGAATCCATTGAGGTACAATTATTGATGGTGGAGCTGATAGTACCATTGACTGTGGTTTGGATACTAGGAGTACTAAGCGATCTTGATGAATCCAGAAAGAGCAGGTGGCATTGGTGTTTGATGGACATTACAAAGAGCCGTCAACAGAATTGAGTAGACCATAGCTAAATAAGAGGTGGGTCATTTGGGACTTTCATAATTGGTCCCACCCTTTGAGAGTTTGAGTGGGGTTTGTGAGGAGGCATTGAGAGAAATAAGATTTCCATTTGGGACATTGAGGGTCGTTGTCGAATCCTTTGAGTTGCAGCTGAGGTTGTGGGAGAGAAATACCCCAGCATGATGTACCTTTTCAAACTTCTAACTTTAAAAAGGAAGTTTAAATGAATGAAATTGTTAATCTATGTTTATCAAAGCCATGTAATTCTAAGGAATAGGCTTGATGGTTAAAGAAATTTACTAATTCTCTTGAATTTTTCAGTTTGGACCTTGAGGGCTGGCATCGAACATATTTCTAAAATTCGAATCTCGAGGGCTTCTACCCAGGAGATTTTCTTAGATGCATCAGACCAGCATGTGAAAGAAGATTTAGTCTCAGTTAATATATAAACTAATCCAAAGTATCATTTACCGTCTAGTCAATATATATCCTTGTGGAAATTTTTTATGATTTTCTAGGTAGTTTAGTGCCAAGTTGATTTATTTATCTCAAAAAGTCCTGCATCACTTTGGAAGGCATTGAATTTGTGAATGAAATGAAGTTGAGAATTTCTGGCAACACTAACCCCTCATCTTCTTATCTTGACCTGTCAAAATTTTACCCTTATGTCATCCTTCTTTGTAGTTTACGCGTTGTTACGATCATCCAGAGCTTGAACAATGGATTCAGCTCAAGTTAATTTAAGCCTTGTGATATGAATAAATAACAAATATATGTGAGTAACAAGCCTGATAGGATAAGTTAATTTCTTGTAGATATGTGAGTAGATCCAAGACCAATAATCAAAACATGAGAGATTACTGCTAATGTGAGATAAGCATATGCATTTTAAACTAACAGGGTGAAAACAGATAGAAGATTTTCCACATGGTCAAGATGTGAAACGGTGCTGGACTGAACCAGATGTTTGATTTCTTCAATATCACCTTCTGTATCAGCTGAAAGCAGTTTACTAGCGCAGCGGTTCTGATCACTATTCAGAAAAGCATAAACCCTGCAAAAAAAAAACCCAAGCCGTCAATCTAATTATTATAAACTAGTTCCACAAAGGCAAGGATAGAAAGCATGCATGTCAACTGGACTGGGTAAAAGAAACTCAAGTGAAAAGTTCTCCTAGTGTTACAAAGAGCAACAAAATGAACTGAGAAAGAATAAGAAGCATGCTACATGCAGACGACGGTGACGGCAGTGGTGGTAAGGAGGAGGAGGAAGTAGAAGAGGCCGTATTTGGCCATTGAGAGAGAGTTTCTTGTTTTCCTTGAATTTGGTTAGCTTCAATTGAGATCTTTGTGGGTTCTTTTGGGTTTGTGTCATAAAGAGAAAATGTAACAGAGAGCCAGAGGGTGTTATTGGTTTCTTGTGTAACTAAAATTGTGTGAAAATGGCCAAAGGCAATTCTGATTTTGCAATCTTGTCAGTGGCTCCAGGGCATGAAGCTGTTGTAAAGACAATAGCTCTAGAGACTAATAATATCCATGATAGAATTTAAAACATTAATAGCATTTGAGTTATACAATGAGGGTAACCTTTCTTATTATATAATTGACAAATAAATTAGAGTTACTGAAACTCCAACCTATTTCATTGAAAAAAAAACTATCAGATACACAACCATTAGGCTATGCCTGTTTCTGTTTGTGTTTAACAGCGTATTTTTATAGATAATGAAAACTTATTTCTCTATGTATGTATGAAATTATCTAATGCCAATACAAAGAGGCTTAATTTAGCGGTTGTATACCATACTAGCTTTTCTAATGAAGAAAGGTTCGAATACTGATGACTCCAAAGTGTAACCCAATAGGTCAATTGGGCCTCCGATGAATGAAAAAAAAAATATATCTAATGCCATAAAAAGGCAAACTATGTTTATTGGCATCAATGCTATATTTTCCATCTGATTTTTTAAATCTTTCCTATCACCAAGAAGATAGAGGTGGGATACTTTGTTCATTTCTGAAGAAATTAGCAGGATCAATGGCAGTCTTCACACGTACTAATCTGTCAAAATTATTCTTGAAATATTTGATGCCCCAAATGCTTGCTTGTCTATAACTTGTGTTGCCTGCAGGATTATTTCTCCCTATGTCAAGATCCCTGTAATTGACATAAGCAGCTCTAGGATTTTTTGAAACATAAGGAGCCAAGTAACTGTAAAGTCTTCTGATCCAACTTATATGCCTCTTGGTTGCCACAATCCCTTCCTCATCCCAATATATTAAGTGTTGAATTTTGTATATGTTCCCTGCTCTATGTGGAAATGGAACGCTAGACTCTGAAATCTCGCTCATTTTTCCTCCGTAAGGGCTAAAGATCAGAATCGGCGTGTCGATGTTTTCATCAAAGAACCTTTCCCATATCCCTTCCAATCCAAGTTCAGGTATAGGTTCCTTGACATAGTCTGATTTTGCTTTGAAATTCCTTCTTGTTGAAGGAGTTCTATCGAGCAAAACATCCAATGATGAGTTACTTGGGAATCCATCGAAGTAGAGGACAGACTCAATCCAACTCATTTCCTTGCAGTCTTCCTTCACCAAACCAAGCTCGGGAAAGCTGTCTTGCACCAATGGAAGAAGCCTTTCAATCCCACCAAGAAACAATGAGTTGAATGAAGCTTGTATTGTGGCGCTGGTCTTTGGTTCTTCATTAGAATCGGCTCTGTTCAGAATAATTCTGATGAAGAGATCTTCATGAAGCTTATCGGCCACGAACTGCCACCGATGAACAAGCTTGGTTGCATTTTGCTCCAATGTTCTTTGAACATTGAATACAGTCACAGTAGATGGAACTAGAACTAACTTTATTTTCCAAGCAATAACCACACCGAAAGTGTTTCCTCCACCTCCTCGGATGGCCCAAAACAAATCTTCTCCCATTGATTCTCTGTCGAGAATTCTACCTTTAACATCAATTAAGTGTGCATCAATTATGTTATCTGCGGCAAGGCCATATTTACGCAACATCATGCCATACCCTCCTCCACTGAAGTGTCCACCAACACCCACAGTAGGGCAAACACCTGCTGGGAAAGCAAGAGTTCTACTTTTCTCAGCAATTCTATAGTAAACCTCGCCTATTGTCGCCCCAGATTGAACCCATGCAGTTTTATTCGTCACGTCAACGTTGATTGTTCGAAGGTTGATTAGATCAATCACCACAAATGGGAGAATAGAAACATAAGAAAGAGCTTCATAATCATGGCCACCGCTTCGAATTCTGATTTGAACTCCATGCTTCTGGGAACAAACAATGGCAGCTTGGATGTGAGATATGTTGGTTGGAGTAACAATAACTAGAGGTTTTGGGGTGGAGCTTGCGTTGAACCTGAGATTTTGGATGGAAAACTGCAAGACTGATGAATATGAGGAGTTGACTGGGGTATAAATGAGCTTAGAAATGGAGTTGGAATTTTGGGAATCAAGGCATTGAAGAAAATCCTCATGAGTGTGAGCTGAGATTACCCCTGAGAATGAAAAGAGAAGGCAAAACAAAAACGGCAACATTGAAAAGCTTAAAGAAGTCATCTCCAACTCCAATATTTTGTTTTCTGCGTTGAAGCCTATAGAAGAGACTCTTTTATTTATAGCAACACACACTAGCTCTTGTTGCTCGAGAGAAAACGAAGGGGAAAATTGAGTGTCAATGTTGAAAAACCCTGTTTCCTAATCTATAGCAATATGGGAACAATTCAAGAAATCAATGGTGAATTTGCATGGGAAGAAAACATGAAGTTTGACCGTTTAAAGAAGAACATTTCTTCGTAGGTAAATTCTACGATATATGCCTTGGCCAAGTTACAAAGGCCAGAAATTTCACTATTCCTGCAAAACATTTAAGCCATTCTAGAATTAGACCGGATCCAGTCTCGTAGTTGGTGAAAATGATCAATCATTCCCATCCTTTCATTTTCCATCTTGGCAATTGCATTGTTTATTGGCTTATTGCATTCGTTTAAACATTAATTTTAAACCAGAATTAGACTTTTCTAATATTTGAACAATCCACTGTAGAAAAGTTCTGATTTGGTAATTTCCGAACTTCTAAAATTTCGTTCCACGGTAATAAATAATGATGTATCTTTTCAGACTTCTAACTCTGAAAAGGAAGGTTCAATGAATGAACTTGTTAAAATAATCCAGTGCTTCAACAATGGATTCAGCTCAGCTTAATTTAAGCTTTGGAATATGAATATATAAATAATAAATATCTCAGGAGAAAAATTCAACACCATACATACCTCGATGAAAATCTTGAAAATTTTGACCACTATACTATCACAGGAATGAGGTGAGAATGTTACATCAAATATATATACACACACACATATACGCAGGGGATATCCGTCGGAGTTAATGTTCTTCATTAACAGTTTCTGCATTTGTTTTTCCAGAACGCGTCAAGAACCACCTGGTAAACGGCCAGAACATCTTGGGACTGCTGTGCCAATTATCAGCTCCAGTTCCTTCGGAGGATGGATCTTTTAAAATTCACCTATCCCAATAACATAAAAACCTGACTTGAATGATCTTTTATATATCTTTTTTCCAGTAGTAATTCGAGGTACTGTTGCATGTAAGGCAGGATTAGCGGTTCTAGAACCATCAATGATTGGTGAACTTGCAGATCTATTTGCAACTCCTTTGGAAATATTGCCTGAATGGTATTTCTTTCTCATATTTCAAATACTCAGTGCCTAATAAGTTATACTCACAACGATCGAAGAACCAGAAGATTTTACATATTAAACACATTTCAAAAAAAAAAAAAAAACAACAACAACAACAACGATAACATGCTCCCAATATCAAATTACACTATCGTGTGCTTTTTATACATGCTTTATATGACACCAAAACCCACCCATTTTGAAATAAATGCTACATTAGATCATCTTCTGGACGAGAAAATTATGTGAGGTCATTCTCATCCAATGGTTCTTCCTCCTCTTTGCTAGCATCAGTCTTCAATGAACTAACATCACCAGTAGGTAGCTTTCTTGCTAGCTTGATTACCTGAAGCCAAGTAATCCAAGTCAATAAGTGCAATTGGCTGATGAAATTGTTAAGTTAGTAGTAGAGGTACTAGCGGGTTGGTACATTAAGTTCTCAATTCTCAAATGACACAATCAAAGCCCTGAGGTTCTGTTGGCAGCGTATAAAATGAAATTTCATAGTCGGTTAATCTCTCTTGTAAGCATGTTGCATAATTGTAGAATGACGACGTTACCAGTAAGTTTGCAACTAACGAGCCTGATAGGATAAGTTTCTTGTAGATATGTCAGTAAATCCAAGACCAATAATCAAAACATGACAGATTACTGTTAATGTGAGATGAGCAGACACATTTTCAACTAACAGGGTGAAAACAGATTGAAGATTTACCACGTGGTCAAGATGTGAAACAGTGCTGGACTGAACTAGACGTTTGATTTCTTCAATATCACCTTCTGTATAAGCTGAAAGCAGTTTACTGGCACAGCGGTTCTGGTCACTTCTCAGAAAAGCATCAACCCTGCAAAAAACCCAAGCAGTAAATCTAATTATTATAAACTAGTTCCAACAAGACAAGGATAGAATGGGGAAAGGCTGAAAACACTAGTACCAGTCTTGATGCAGGAGCTTTCTTTAGAATATTTATTATATTAGGGTTACTTAATTAATCTAGGGTCATGTGATTAGCATGTGACTTTTTAAAGTATTTCCTTTATAGGCTGGTAGTTTACTTGTGGACTAAGACTAGGAATCTTTTCCTACAAGGATCTAGGGTCTTAACTAGTATCCAAGGGCTGCTACTGCTGTAATAAGATATAACTTTGATATTTTAATAATTTTATAAATAGTTTGTTCTCTTTTTCTGGCTGTCAGCCCTCACAGCCAGCCTTTGACTGGGTTAACTATCTTTACCTATCTTTTGCATTTTCTTCCTACGTTAAGTCATCTTGCAAAAAAGATCTTTTATGTATCAAAGAAATTAGACTACAGGAATTACAAAACTATGTCCTCTGAGTGTAGTTGTATTATTGCACATTTGCACTTTAATTTGAGTCCCCAAAAAGAGAAGTGTACAAGATGGTAGGTACACAGTTCCACAAATAGTTCTTAAAGGGTACTGGACTTATTATCAGCCAAAAAAAAAAAAAAATAGTCAGGAGAAGTTTCTTAGCACTCAACTTCTATATCTTCATGTCAAAACAAAACATCTTGCAGAAATGTCCACCAGAGACTGATGTTGTAGGGAAAAGAAGACTTCAGACTAATATTTGACTACACCTCATGAAGATTGAGCTAAATAATGAAAACTAAATGGACTTGAAATTTAGAAGTCTCACTGTGACTAGAAAAATGGAGTACTGATTTAATATTTTTAGTCATGTCAGATATTGAAGATACAAGATGAAGGTGATTTCAGACTGCTACAAGTTCAAGTTTAATCTCATCATTGAACAAGGCACTAAATAATAGCAATTTTTTTTTTTTTTTAAGTTCTTGTATTTAACCAATTAAAACTTTCTGGTGTCCGCCATAGTCAAAAAGAGCTACTTGGCAAAACCAAACCAGCATCATAAGGAGAGAACATGAGGCAAAAATTTTCAATACATTGCTGGTAGCTAGAGGATGATGTCAGAAAAAGTTTGCTTACTGTGAACAATCATTGTAGCACTTCTCTGCTTGCTTGAAGTCATGAGCATAAAGGTACACAATAATTGCACCAAGATATGCCTGAAAATAATGGAAATAATGTAAGATGAACAAGGTGTCTTGAACAGGAAAAAAAAAAGAAGAAGAAGAAGAAGAAGAAGAAAAACTAAATCGTACAGCGTAGTGCGGCAAGATGTCCTAGAAGCATAAATGCTTTCAAAAAGAAAGAGAAGAAGCTGAGGTGACTAAGAGCATTATAAGCAGAAGGTTTCTTTGTTGATATAGTTTTAAATACAAATTTGAATTTAGGGAACAGAAGAGGAAAAAACACTATGGAAGCTGAAAAGTTGAAAACACAAAAGAACGACACAGGGGCCAAAAGAAAGAAAGAAAGAAAGAATAATAATAAAAAAAAAAAAAAAAAAAACAACAGCAACACTTAAAGTTATACCTTGCACTGGCTATTGGTGGCATTGCATTTATCTGCTGCTAGACCCAATTGCAACAAAGAAGCTGCAGCATCACTATACCTGCAGGCAGTAACACCATCATAACACTCATAAATTAGATTTGTCCAATAGCAACCTCAATTAAACATTTGGCAGTCAATGCATGCTACTAATACATAATAAACCCTTACTTCTCAAGCTTTATATACACACTAGTGGCAGCCCGGTATAGATCAAAAGCCATCTGTTCTTTGCCATCCTCTTCAAGAATAGCAGAAGCATCATTGTACAGCTGAACAGCAGCATCAGGCATAGCATCTTCCAGAGCACTATGAGAGGGGAAAGGAACTACTTTTCAAAAGACAGCCCGATTTGATAGGTAAGCTATGATAAATATTTAATGCCACAAGGAGAAAGCATGCATGTCAACTGGACTGAGCAAAAGAAACTAAGTGAAAGTTTCTCCTCGTGTTGAGAATGAGTTACTACGAGCAACAATGAATTGAGAAAGGATAAGAAGCAAAAAAATAAAATTAGGGGTAAATTATTACACTATACAAACACATGCTTGGAAAGAAGGGCAGGGGGGCACAAATCATTTGTAATCATGAAATAAGCATGCTACACGCAGAAGACAGTGATGCAGCATATATGCTGGACATCCCCTAAATTTGAATTTAGTTATTTGATTACAGAGCATTTCGAAGCAAACTGACATCCAGATTGAGCCATGGAAGATATGAGAGTATGATTGACATTAGGATCTTGACAGGGTATAGGTTGTGAATAGAAAATCATGTCTAAACTTAGTTAACCATTAGAATCTTTAATGGCACTTTCAATAACTCCCTTCTCCGTACCATAAGTATGCATGAGTTACCAAGTACAAGATTGCAAATGGCTATGTAGAAGTGGTAAATTTCAGATACAAAGTATTGGCTTCTAAATACAAAAAGGGTAAACTAAATCTTTACCTAGCAGCCTTAGCTAGAGCATCTGATGCTGGCTGTGGTCTCCCACACTCCATGTACAACTCAGATGCTCTTCTATAAAAGTCAGTGACTTCATTCCAGTTGCGTAGTTCCTTTGCTAGAGCCCCAGCAGACTCCATATGCTTAGCAGCATCCCAAGGTCTGATTTTCTCGTTAAGAATTTAACTAAATGCAAATGTACGCACATCAAAACCAAAAAAGACTAATACTTGATGAATCACTCCTAGACTAGAGTCAACTAAAACGAGGATACGAAGACAGCATCTCTTGTCCTTTGGAAGCTTTCTCAAATGCTTCTTTTGCTTTCTCATTTTTCTTGGCAACCCTAAACAAATTAGCTACAACAAAACAATAATTAGAAAAAAAACAAAAACCACTACAATTCATGTCATTATCCATAAAGAAAAAACAATCCACAAACAAACAATCAATCTCAGTCACTAACCAGCTTCTTCATATAAACGAGTTGCATTTCTCCAATCAGCACTCCATCTTGTAAGACTCAGTTTAGTTCTAACAAAAAAAGGAAAGAAATATTAAAAAATGAAAAATACTCAATCCAAGAAATGGGTCACCTTCAAATTTTCATAACATTGAAGAATCTCAAAAACCCAATATTGATTCTCTTAACAGACATGCAAATCACCAAAAATATTCAAATGGGCAGACTGTAACTCACATTAACAATCAACCCATTTGAGCTTCTGCTGTCCCAATAAAAAAAGTCAAGTTCTTTTTGCATTTCTCAGCAATCTATGACTTCAAAAATTCAATCTTTAAAGACCATATTTAACCAAAAAAAAAAAACAAGAAACATAATCAATACATGATCATTTAAAACCATGAAAAAGGCAGATTGGATCCTTTCACGTAGAAAGAAAGAGGGGAGAGAGGGAGCTTACTGTTTATCAGCCTTGGCAATTAGCTTCTCGGGATCGGAAGTGGGCATGATGATGGTGATGGTGGACTAGTTTCTCTGTTTTTATTTTCTTTTTGTTTTCCTGTTCGAGCAATTGAGCAGAGACAGATAAAGCAAAGCAAGTAAGCAGTCCTGCTGGATTTTGATTTCTTTATGCTATTTCTGTATTGTTTTTTTATACACACCCAATTTTTTCAGTCATACACGCATTTTGTAGTTAAAAATAGTATATAAAAAAAGACAGATCTATTTCATTTTAGGATGGGTAATGCATTCTATGAATATTTTGATTTTTTATCTGTTTCATTACATTTAGGATATTTTAAATTTAATTTTTTTTTTTTATCGATGAAGGATATGACACTATTGATTTAAATATTTTCCTATCAGATAATCCAATATTTTCAATTTAAAACTGATTGGATAAATTAAGCAGGAAAATTTGTGGAGAGTTTCAAGGCCCATTCGGACAAAACCTTAAGCCCAACAATAGGAGGCCTTAGATAGACTTTGTGGGAGGTTTTATATATATAACCCTATGATATAAATAAGGCCTTCTATAGCCCATCTTGAGCTTAGTTTCAACTTTCATGTTTCATTCTATTTCTTTGCCTAATCAATCAACACAACCTCCCTCAATTCCCACCGCTTCACCAACTGTAAAACTCACCGTATCTCTCTCGATAGCCTTGCAAAGATGTTTTTAATAATTGTGATTACAACTTGTTTAATCAATATCAAAATAATACTTGATGCCTTAAACGAAAAAAATCATACAAGACAACTTTATTTATATTAGCATTTGATGTACAAATAGAAAACGAGTTTTACGCATATTAAGATCTTGTACAATTTGAATTTTTTTTTATTTAGATCTTAATTTTTTTTCTTTATCTAATTTAAGAGTCTACTCTTATATTATTATTCTTTGAGACCCTAAATAATGATAGCTTACCACATCACTAATTCAATCATCCTATCCGAGCTCATCATGACACGCGACAAGTTATCATTAACGTGAGCTTGTCACATGTGCTTCCATGGCACACTAAGATCTGAAACGAGCAATAATATAAGAGTAGAACTCTTAAATTGGACGAGAAAAAAAAAAACTTAGGGTCTCAATAAAAAAAAATAGAATTATGCAAGATCTCCATAAATGCAAAACCCTATAAAAAAGGATAAACTCGTTTAAATTTTTATCCAACTCATTTTTATAAATAATTTGTCATGTTCGATAATATTTAGTCCAACCCATTCTCTACATTCTAAACACATTCTAAATTTTGATGTTTGCTAATAACACTCACTCTTATCAAACATGAAAAAAATAATACATTGAATCTATCCTTTTATCGTTCAAATAATAATAATAATAATAATAAAAGTCATTTAATCAATTGAAACACTCATTATTCATGAAACTCTCCCACTAATTAGGTTGTAATAGTCAAAATCACCAATGTCTTGCACACACAAAACTTGACTTAAAAGTAATTAGGTTTAGTGTAGAACTTTCACACAACCCATGAACACTAACCACCATGCACTTATACAATAACCTACACTCTCATTTCTCCTCCCATAAAAGACCAATGTGACTATCACTTTTCCACCACAACTTTCAAACCCCATTTCACCACCTAATTTGCTTGAGTTGATCAATCTTACAATGGTTTCCAAACCTGTTCTCATGCTTGTTACCTTTGCTTTCTTGCTTCTTTGTAGCTGCCACTATTGCTCAGCCTCTGGCAGGTTACTAATTCCAAAAAGGCCAACCACCACAGAATTTGGAATGGACTCACCTAACCTTCTAAAGCCAACTTTTCCATTACCAGAAGATCAAGAGACACCAGCACCTCCTAGTTCCACAATACCAGCACTTCCAACGCCACTTGAACAGCCAATAATGACACCTCCTCCTCCTCCTTCTCCGGCTGGCCAAGATGAGGCCAATCTGATTCCAGCTTTCCCATTTCCTCACTTGCCTACTCTACCCAAATTCCCTCCTTTTCCATTTATTCCTACCTTGCCATCAGTCCCTGCACTCCCCTCCGTTCCCCTTCCTCCACAGTTCGTGGATTCAGGCTTTTCTTCACCAGGGATTGGAGATGAAGGTAGCCCATGAAGCTGGCATTGCTTTTCCAAGTATCTTGCTAATGGAATAGAACTAGCCAGTTTGCGAAATAACTTCATCATTAGGCGTTTTGAGTAGGTTGGCAGCAAATGTTACGTGTCATGTTCATCTTTTAGCTGGTTTCCTTTTCCATAAAATAATGTGGGATTATGCCATTGTTGGTGTAGTAATTAGTGAAAATTAATGATAACATGATGAGTAAATTATAAATTAGTCCCTCTTTCGTTTTAAAAACTAACCATTAGTTCATTATGTTTTATTTTCGTTAATAACTTCGTCTTATTATTAGTTTTTCATTAGATTAGTGTTTTTTTTTAATTTTTTTTTCTTAAGCTTTATTTTTTTCTTCATCCACTTTTTTCTCTTCCCTCAACAAAAAATAAAAAAAGATAAACAAAAAATTGATGAAAGTACTAAGGTAAAGAACTAAATGATTAATTTTTGAAAGGAAAAAGACTAATTAATTCATTTTTCTAAACAAAAGAAAATAATTTATAATTTACTCTAACATGATTGATGTTAATGCTGCAAATTGCAATGATGATCATACTGCTATATTTCCATGAACATTCATCAAAGCAATTCCATCAGCAATCATAATTCGATAGGAAGTTTAAGGAAAACATAATATTGATTACATACAAGAACAAAACTAGGAAAAGAAAATACAGCAGAAGGAGAGAGTAGAGACAGAAGCAGAACATGTCCCTTACATGTGACGTAGTACCCACACGAAGTCCTAACTTATTGTTATTAAATTATTTATTTTTCCTTCCCTTCTTTTCTCTGGCTATTTGAGAGGTCACAAGGCACTCAAAAAGCTCAAGAATCGATCATGCTGGAGGAGATTGAAAGAAGGGGTTGGGAGGGAAAGGGAAAGGGAAGGGAGGCAGAGGGAAGTCAGGAAGTGGAGGAACATTAGGAATGTCAAATGGAGGTGGAAATGGAAATTGAGGAAATGGGATTCCAGGAATTGGTATGTTTGGAAGTGGTGGCAAGAACTTCTTCTCTCCCAAGCCCACCTCGGCATTGGTTTTATCGACCTCAATAGGCTTTTCATTTTCTTCTTTAAGTTGGCGAGCATCAATCTGCGGTGCTAGACAGGTGATGATCAGCAGAATCAAGCCGAACATGAAAGTAAGATTCAGCACCAGTTTTGAAGAAGTTTTGGAAGCCATGGCTAGCTAGGCAAAGTTTGCATGTCCAGCTCTCATCCTTGTGCCTTCGTATATATACAGATGTTCCAAGTCACATGAATGAGTTAGCATCCCAATCTCTCGTTGTCGAAACTCAAGCCCTCTTGATGATTGTGCCAACAAGAGGAAGAGTCACAGCCCCAGAGGGGAGAGCCAAGAGGCAGGGTTACTAGAGGAATTAAATTCAGCTAAAGAAGAATTGGAAAGAGTGCCAAGAAACATAAATTCATTAATCTTTCTGCTGAAACTTGATAAATTCATGCCTTTATTATACCAAAAAATAAGAAGCAAAAACGTCTTGGAAATATATGTGCATGACAAGTAGATACTCCTGCATGAAACCATTGCACGTGTCTAGCTATATAACCAGCCACCATGCATCGCCTGCAATTGTCTTGAAGAATCAGAAGATTGATCCCGCTAAATGGGCACACATTGCAAGCAATATTGCAGGCAAGAAAATCACCAGACACATGTCTTTAAATCTTGACGGTGTCGAAATATTTTACCGTAGCTTATCATGTTTGGTGAACTGCTGTAAATACATAAAAGGAAACAAAAAACGAAAACCTCTCCTGAGAAAAAGAAGTCTTGTTTCCCTCTCTGGCTCCTTACATGACCTCCTTTGACAAGTTAAAAATTCTTTCTTTTCCTGGGTTTATACAGGTTGTCTACGAACCTTCATGATGGGCATTAGGATTTTCAAGGACATTCTGACCATTTACTGTAGACAAAGAAGTGATAGAATCCCCATAAAACAAAGCTCGGATTGCTCCTCCGAAATTTCCCATTCTTGATGAAGGATCCCAGCAGCATGAATGATTCGAAAAACCTAATCTCCGGGCGGTAGACATCACTAATGATCGGAACTAAGTGCGTCGTGACACACCAGTCCTTGGATCCATGTTTCGAGGATTTTAGCAATACTCCTAGACAAAATGTGTCATTGAAATTGCCTTAGAAAAGGCCCGTGCTTGCGAGAATGCTACAAGGTAAGTTCATTGCTGGAAGGATTGTTAATGAACCATATTTTTATTCGAAGTATATTTTTTTATTCGAATTGTATTATCATTCGAATCCGTTAATATGTTTATTAAATAAATGATCTCCGATCTGAAATTAATATAAATATTATATTTTAAAAACATAAAAAATTAAATATGAAAAAAAAAACATATGACACTAGGTTTAGATGTTAAGAAATGTTCTATATATATATATATATTTATTTATTTATTTATTCCCTCCCTTTCTCTCTAAATTGACATTTACTTTTTCAAACAATTACATAATTAGTTTTTTTCCCCCTAAAATCTCAAATTAATTTGGTAAAAAAATCCTATAAACATATGCAAAAAAAACTAAATTAATAAATTATTGCTAATATTATACTTTTGTTTTTAATTTATAAAATCTTGATTCAATTTGAATTTTTTATTCATTTCAACCTTTATTTATTATTATTATTTTCTTAAATGCTAGGATTTTCTTTCATATCAATCAAATTGTCCGTAGAGCATATATTTTTACTATTTTTCTTAGACATTTGGATTTTTTTAAAAAATTAACATATTGAATATTATCATTTTTCTTATACGCACAATTACATCGATTTTGAATGTAACCAACACTCTTTACAAAATAATAATAATAATTGAATAATAAATCTAACAAATAATCCGATCCAAATCCATTAGAATCAAGATCATGATCAACAATTACATAGACTTATTATAATCTGATCCGAATCTAGCTCGTTAATAACCCCATTTGTCAGAGCCTCACTCCAATAGAGTTCTAGATACCTTATCAAGATGTCCCACGATACATTCAATCACATAGTCTCCTAAATCAGAGAGACAAGACAAAAGGCCAAGAGAATTATTAATCAATCGTTGTATCTACATATGGCAGATGCTTTTGCATTTACATGATAAAGAATGAATCAAAAAATTGGTTAAGACATCTCACAAGCAAAAGGGAATGATACAAAAAGCTAACAAAGCAGATTACATAACACGAAAAAGGAAAAAGAAAGCACCAGTTTCTCGATCCTCAGCCATTAGTAGTGGTATTATATGTGATTTTGGCAACGATCGACAATGGAATGTTGAGAACATGACCCTGATCTCCAAAAAGTCCTATCCTTCCATAGCTGGCAGTAGAACTATTCATTGTTGCGTCAAAGAACACACTCAAGACTTGCCTTTCCCCACTGGCAATAGAGAAGTGGGTCGGTGCCACCTTTACAGCCACTCCATAAGGTGCACTCCAGCCAACTTTATATGTTTCGTTGCCAGCAATGTTAGTCACTGATCGTTGGACTGTTCTAGACTGATATAGCTTAGCAATCGTGATAGAGGGAAGATTCAGGTCAGTGCCATTGATGGTTGAGTTATAAGACAAACAATTTTGACCTGTGTAGTTCAAGACCATGGGACTAGATCCATTAATGCCACAAAGAAAGGACATATAGTCATCATAACCTGCAAAAGCACAAAGTAAGAAGTTAGAATGAGATGCATGAAGTTCACAAGTAAATTAATGGACCACAGGTAGCAAATGCACGATTGGAAGTCAGATTCTGCTGTGATAACTTATGCAGCATTTGCATTATAAGAAGTTAAACTGCTTAGAGGTTATTTCTTTGGCATTTCTCGAAAGATAATCAGTAACGAGACCTGGATAAGAGAAAGTTAAAATTCATCACCCAATTGACCAGTAGGCAACAAGAGGCTTGCGACTTAGAGCAACTGTTTTGATTACCTATCCTGGCAATGATATTGTCCAGGACAGGTCCAGTCATGTGGATTAATTCTGCCCCTTATGTGTTGGCCTTGCCCTACATCTTAAATGAGGCCAACTCTTTGATGATGTGCGACCTGTTCTACAACACTCCCTTGACATGTGCAAAGCCATTTAAACAATGGCAAAACTGAACTAGACTTAGCTGGTATGCCAATGCTGCTTCCAATTTATGGTTCTAGTTTAAGTTAGAGGACAATGAAAGAATTTATGCTGTAGCCTCCAAGGGTTGGACTATCCATGAAACATTCCTTAATTCAAGTGAGACCTTTTATTATAAAAGAGAACCAATTAAAATGGGTTTTACGGCATCTTCTTTAAACAACAACAACAACAACCAAGCCTCGATAATCACAGACTAGTTGGGGTCGGGCGGTCGGCTATATGGATCCTTTTTAAGACATCTTAGAAGGGAAAAGAGAAACTAGGACACTCAACTGTATCATTAAAATGTCAAACTCAACCTCACCCAAAACATAAAATTAAGTTAAGAGACTCGACACATCACAAACTAGGTCAATACTCTATCCATTTATACTCCCGGAGGCAAGGACAATATAGGTGGATAAATATTTTCTGCAATGACAAGATAACCATTGCTATCATTACCAGATTCCTGTGTACTAGAATAACTCCAGCATCCTAAGTAATGAACAGATGTAAAAACTACTCAATAACTAGTAAAAGAGTTTATGCAGAATAACTTACTGGAATCAAAAATCAAACCCGGATCCAGAGCTGCAGTTGCATTCACAAAACCACTACCCATGTCGAATGGTGTGGCTGGAGACTGATTTATTTCGGGGTTGGCATAAGCACGCTGAGCCATTATTGGCCCACCGTTATTGTTATATAAAGAAGCTGTTGTGGATAGTGCAGAGGCCATTGCTGAAGGACTGAAACTGGGGAACTTTTGCTTGATCAGCGCAGCAAGCCCAGCAATATGAGGAGCAGCCATACTTGTTCCAGACATCATTGCAAATTTCTCACCTAGAGGGTTCATTTGACGGAATATTATAAATTAGTACATTTTATTATTTGTGTAAACCTTATTACTAGCATGGAATCACAATTGGACTATTCCTTCTGTATCCATAATCCTACCTTGAAATTCAACCGAGTCTGTGCCACGTGAACTCCATGCAGCCCATATTAGATTTCCAGGAGCTACCACATTGGGTTTCAAAATGTCAGCATCATCGAGAAAACTGTCTTCTGGATCTGGTCCTCTAGCAGAGTAAAACATAACTTTGGGAGCAGAATTAGAGTAGTTAGCTCTTAGTCCGCCTAAAATGCTTGCAACCGCACCAAATCTAGTAATTTGGCTTGTAGTTTCATTTCTCTCCACAGAAGAATTGTAGTATTGGAGTAAAACCTGTCACGAGGATCATTCAAGACTAAGATTTCACATAAGTGACAATTTCTTTTGAAGGGAAAAAAACTCCCATCAAATGGAGTCATTGAAAGACCATGCAAGCTAAAGACTACAAGAACAGAATAGTCATTTGCCAGCAAACACTAACACGCAGAACCTTCACCTTGGAATCATCTGGGGATGGAATTATGATCCCAGGGACTCTCATTGGAATTGGATTAAGCTGAAAGCCAATAACAAAAGGATCCATGTAGAACACAACACCAGCTGCACTGAGGTTTTTGGCTGTTTGTATAGCTTGTTTGACTGTGGAGAGTCCAAGCACGAAGCGAATTGAATAGCTACAGATCAAGAGGTTTCCTTTGACCAAATCCTGATTGAAGTTACTGGAATCTTGACATTCACCAACATACATATCAGTAGCAACTGTTGTCTCGTTGTTCAAAGCATGAAGTGCATAAACAAGGGTCAACATGGTATGTTTATGAGTTCCCGCTGAAGGAAAACAAAATATATTAGACTCTTATCTCAAAAAAAAAAAAAAGTAGTAAACTATTGATTATCAGGCAAATAATAACATTAATTGTTGTTGTGGTTTCTACTCTTAGTTTATTTATTTGCAAGTTCATCTTCAAAAGATTTTCTGTACAGAAAAACTAAGAAATGGATAGATGAAGATCAACTTACGTGCAAGCCCGACTCCATTAATGGTTACATTGTTGCCGAGCATTATAGAGTTACTGTAGACTCTGTCATGAGAAGCTGCACCAACAGTGAAGATCCATGGGCTGAAGGAAGACATGCTTTTTGGTGATGGTCCAGTATTGCCTGCTGCTTGCACAGCAAAAATACCAGCCTTCACAGCTGAGAGCAAAGCCATGTCTATAGGATTAAAAAATGTTGCAATACCAGGAGGACGCCTGTTGGGTGTGATTGATAAACTTATAACGTCAACCCCATCTTGAGCTGCCTGCAAATACATAATGGGTGATAAGTGTTAATTATGATGTCCATATGAATGATATATGCAATCTCCAGAAATTCTCTCTTTTTTCTCTTTCTATTATATGTTTGCAGAGTTGAGCTATCCACTCGGTCCCAACTAATTGGAAAGGAACTTTCGCTTGCTTGTCATTTAGCAAAACTACTCTACTTGGAGTGATGAAATGTTTCCGAGGAAATTGAACTTATAAGAAGAAATCTGCCCAGAATGAGTCAAACAAAAAATTGGGTGCCCCAAAGAGAAGAGGCAACAACCATTTGATGAGCTCAAAATTGTCTAGATGAAGGCCAAGTTCAGTAACAGTCCATGAAAGAATAAGGCATATTGATAAACAAAAGTGTATAAATCAATCAAATGCCCCAGGTAGTTTCAACTCTCAAAGTTCTTTCGATTTTTGGAAAGTTGTGTAACAGAATCATTTGACGAAATCAGACCAAATTAAATATATGTACCTGATCTATAGCAGCAACAACATCAGCAGCAAAGCCTCCAAAACTCTTGTATAATGCCTTGTAAACAGCAACACTGGAAAGATGAGCATGCAATTAATTCAAAAGTAGCAGTATTGAAGGCAAAAACTTTACAAAACTGAGGTTTTCAATATATGC